TATCATTAGTATGGTAAAACTGATGCAACTGGTGTAAAAGAATTCAAAGATTTTCATATTCCTATCACTTCTTTTCCTTTCAATTCTCAATTCCTTTCCATTAAGAATTTTCCTTAGAAGTTCAAATGTTCAGATGGAGGTATAATTCAAGAATAGAGTTAATAAGCTTTGGCTGGGGGGTAGAATTTAGTGGCACTTGCTTATATTAGCATGTATAAGATCCTGGGTTCCAGCACCCAAAAAAAAAAAAAACAAAAGAATTAATAGACTTTTTCACAAAATTTCTTAAAACTTCATTTTGAATATAAGTCAGTAATAATATATGTCTGGCCAGGCATGGTGGTACAGACCTATAAATCTCAGCAGTTCGGTAGTCTGAGGCAAGAGGATTGCAAATTCATAGCCAGACTCAGCAACTTAGCAAGATCCTGTCTCAAAATAAAAAAGGTCTTGGGCGGGTGGTATTCCTCAGTGGTAATGGGTTCAATCCCCAGTTCCAGAAAGAGAGAATATCAATGTATGTCTGCTCATCATTTCTGGAAAGTTTTGCTGGTTAGAAATTCATATTAAGCATAGTGAGTACTTTAAGCCTCCACTTTTTTTTCCAAGTTCCAGGCTTCTTCAGCGATTGCTTACTATCCCTTTGATGTTTTTTTTTCTTTTTTTATTATTTATTTTTCAGTTTTTGAAGGACACAACTTTGTTTGTATGTGCTGCTGAGGATCGAACCCGGGCCGCATGCATGCCAGGCGAGCGCGCTACCGCTTGAGCCACATCCCCAGCCCCCATGATGTTTTTTTTCTACAACACTTTCAAATTAGAATTCTGATTTTCAGAAATCCCATAAGTATTCCAAGTAGTAGTCCTCCTCATCTTTGTATGAGCAATCATTCTCCCTTTGCAGACATCTTGTTTGGGTGTCTCACTGTGGTTTTAAATTAGCATTTCTCTACCTTTTCATTTATTTCATTTATTTATTTGTGTTTGTCTGTTTTCTTCTGCAAAGTGTCAAGTGTGTCCTTTTTATTAAGTTGCCTTTCCCTTTGAGTTCTGTGTGTGTATAAATATATTGCTTGCTCTTCTCTTTTTAAAAAATATTTTTTAGTTGTAGACGGACATGATACCTTTATTTTATTTGTTTATTTTTATGTGGTGCCGAGTATAGAACCCAGTGTCTCACAGGTGCCTGGCAAGCACTCCACCACTGAACTACAACCCCAGTCCTGCTTTCTTCTCTTAATGATATTTTTTAAGCAGAAATTTTTAATTTTAATGAATTCTAGTTCATTTATTCTCTTCATGATGCTAAGGGTAATGTAAACTCTTGGTCATGCTCTAGTTTAAAAGATTCAAGCTAGTACTCATTAGTTGTGATTTTTCCCACAAAGTTTTGTGTGTTAGAACCTTGGTCCTCGTTGTAGTGATGTTAAGTATTGGTGGTATCTTTTAAGAGGTGGGGTCTAGTGGGAGATGGTTATGTCATTGGTAGTATTGCCCTAGGAGAAGATTAAGGTTGTCCTCATTGGAACCCAGGTAGTTCCTGAGAGAGTGAATTGCTTCCTGTCTTGCCACATGATGTCTCTTGTATGTGCTCCCACCATGGTGCCTTTTGCCCTGTGGTGACCCAGTCAAGTGACTCCTCACCAGAAACTGAACCCATAGTGAGTAGGTGTCTGATCTTGGACTTGCAGCCTCCAAAACTGTAAACCAAATAACCCCTTTCTTTCTAAAATATCTAGCCTCTGCTGTTTTGTTATATCAATGAAAAATGTACTAAACCTGGTCAGTCCATTGTTGTTTGTTTGATCTAATACCTGGTCAGTCCATTGTTGTTTGTTTGATCTATTGGTAAATTAAAGATTTGTTAAACATAAAAAATTTTTTATTCACTACCGTGTAATATATGCTCATGTCCATGATTTTATCGGTGTTCTGTTTTACATTGTATGTTCAATTTGTTTTATTTGTTTTATTTGAACCCAGTCCCTCACACATTCAAGACAAGTGCTCTACCACTGAGCCACAACCATAGCCCGTGTATGTTCACTTTAAAACTGAGTTCATTTTTCCATTATCAGATGTATTTTATAGGTATTTCATCCTGGTCTGTGGCTTACTGTTTCATGTTATTAACAGTGGATTTTTGAATAGTGAGATAGTGAGATTTAAAAATTTTTGATGAAGTGCCCAGTTTATCTTTTTTTTTTTTAATGATTTATGACTTATAGGGATCTTTCTAGGTAATTCTGCAGCTCTCTGTTTATCTTCCTTTCTTAGTCCTATGCTTCACACATTCTAGCCTCCTTGTCCTCCACAAACACCACCTGTGAGATTGTTCTTTCCTTGTCTCCCCCAACTCATTTTTGTTTATTATTTGTTTGTTTGTTTGTTTATTTATTTATTTATTTTTGTGGTACTGGGGATTGAACCCAGGACCTTATACACGCAAGGCAAGCACTCTACCAACTGAGCCATATCCCCAGCTGTCTCCCTCAACTCAGGCAGGTAGTCCCTATTTCTAGCTCTGATTCAGTTCCCTATCTATGGGTTGTCACCTGGAATCTGCCACCATACAGTAAGCTGCTGTTGTCTTGGGTCTTACCTTTTTTTTTTTTTTTCCTTTGTCAGGGATCAACACAGTCTTGAACTGCCTTAACTGTTATTAAAACAGTGTTAATAACTAGTAATAACATGTGCCAATAAAGCAGTTTGGCAGTCTTGCAGGAATAAGTAGTTTATCAGAACTTTTAAAAACATAAGCTTTATATGTTATATACCACAGTAAATTTCATCATCATGTATATCCACAAGACAGTAACATTAAAAAAAATGCCTAAATAAATTCCAGAAAGTTCAATAGAGAGAAGGGATCATGGGGAGGAAGGAGGAAAGGAAAAGGGGGCAATACTAGGGATTGAATTGGAACAAATGATTTGCTTTTATAATTATGTCAAAGTGAATCCTAATGTTATGTATAACTAAAAAGAACCAGTAAAAAAAAAGTATATAAAGTTTTTCAGTTCAAATTTCACAATTGTAAGATACCCATGGCCCTAGGAACATGATTATCCCAAAGGCTAGAGAAATTACTGGAAGAAAAAAATTATCACTTTCATTTTTCATGTTAAAACCAGAATACCATCCAGGCTCTTGAATAGTATGCTGCTTATGATATATTCTTATCAAGAAGAATAAAGTCTTGTTTCTTAGCTAAGAAGGCAGTGCATTATTGAAGTTCTTTAGCATGTGAGCAAATAGGATTTAACAAGGGAAGGAATTAGAAATAGCTGGGTGCTTGGTATGTTTCATGAAGGATTCCTAACTATCATTTGTTCAGTTTTAGTTAACTCATTATAGAAAAGGAAGCAGTTTTTCTCCATTGGCAACAATAAAGAATACTTTCTCATAGCATGTTTTAATTCCTTTTCATTTGGTGATCTTGTTTCATACCATGTTGATTGATACATATATTCTTACGCCATTTGCTCCAAGGACAAACTCTAATTAAGAAAATTCTCTTTATCATTTGGCAACTTGTACATGGGTTTCATGCTCAAGGATCAATGAAAGTAGCACTTTTTTTTTCTTTTTTTTTTACCATACAATTTATTTTTATTATTTTTTAGTCATACATATCAGCAGAATATATTTTGACATATAATACATACATGGAATGTACATACATCAATCATATTGTCTATTCTGCTGCCCTTCCTATCCCCCTACTCCTCCCCTCCTTTCCCATCCTTTCTTTCTATCCAATCTAATGTGACACACTTTTTTTTTCTTTTTCTCATCACAACATCATATATGTATTCTGTATAACAATGAGGTTCTCCTTCCATCTTCCGTGCAACTCCCCTTCTCCCTCTTTTTCCCTCCCACCTGTCTTCCCTATTTAGTGGTAGTCTTCTTATGCTCTTCCTCCCTATCCTATTTTGAGTCACCCCCCTTATATCAGAGAAGACATTTGGCATTTGTTTTTTAGGGATTGGCTAACTTCACTTAGCATAATCTGCCCTAATGCCATCCATTTGCTTGCAAATGCCATGATCTTGTTAGTTTTTAGTGCTGAGTAATATTCCATTGTGTATAAATGCCACATTTTTTTAATCCATTCATCTATTGAAGGGCATCTAGGTTGGTTCCACATTCTAGCTATTGTGAATTGTGCTGCTATAAACATTGATGTGGCTGTCCCTGTAGTATGCTCTTTTTAGGTCTTTTGGGTATAGTCTGAGAAGGGGAATAGCTGGGTCAAATGGTGGTTCCATTCCCAGCTTTCCAAGGAATATCCATACTGCTTTCCAAATTGGCTGCACCAATTTGCAGTCCCACCAGCAATGTATGAGTGTATCTTTTCCCTAAATCCTCGCCAGCACTTATTTTTGTTTGACTTCATAATGGCTGCCATTCTTATTGGAGTGAGATGGTATCTTAGAGTAGTTTAAATTTGCATTTCTCTGATTGCTAGAGATGGTGAGCATTTTTTCATGTATTTGTTGATTGATTATATATCCTCTTCTGAGAAGTTTCTGTTCAAGTCCTTGGCCCATTTGTTGATTAGGTTATTTGCTTTTTTGTTTAAGAAAGTAGCACTTTTTGTCATCAGTTATTCTAACAGAAACACCTTACCCCTCCGCCTTTTGAAGTTAGATTGAGTGTTTTCTATGGGAAACGGATTTTGAATATTACATTTTCTCTCTTACAATAGAAAGGTCACCGGCTACACTTCTTTGCATTAAATATGGAATATAAAATGAGGTTTATAGAGTAAAGGAGTTGCTTGTCTTTCATTTTCCCACAACCCCTTAACATTTGCTTTTACTTTGGCTTACGTAATTAGCCCTAGAGAGGCAGTGACTATGGACATGCATGTGTACATGTGTATCTTTGCAGCATTTTAAAATATGTAAAAGAAAAGACTGTGTTTTATAAATCAAACAAGTATCAATAGTACTGACCCACTAAACCTTCTCTTCCCTTATGTTTTTCTACAGGAGTCTCCCCAGGACAGTGCTATCACACGGGATATTAACCGGACATTTCCAGCCCATGATTATTTCAAAGACACAGGAGGAGATGGACAAGATTCCTTATATAAAATATGCAAGGTATTTCATGTCAGAAAAAAAAATTCCATTTTGAATGGCGTTCTGGTTCTTTGAAATTATATGATCACAAAGTGTAGTTCGTATTTGATGGTCAAGAATGCAGAAAGGAGAGAAAAGGCTATAAAATCAAAGGTATCAACATAATTTTAGATTCATTAAAGAACAGGAAATAGTTAGAAATTAGTAGTAGAGATTTTTTTTTTCTCCCTTATAGTTAGGGTTTTCAGATGACAGTCCCCTGGATCCCTATTTATACTTTTGCTTATATATTAAGAACCTCAGAGCCGTGTAACATAGCAATCTTCTTTGCAGTATTTACATTGTACATGCTAAACTTTTCTCATTGGGTATAGTCCAATAGTGGAAAGTGCCAGGATGTATCCATGTGGATTTATAGCACTGCACCATGTTGGAAAATACTGAATTCTGTCAGAAGCTCTGTACCTCAGCACTTGAAGAAAATGATAGCCTGTTTCACTTCAGTAATCTTGTTTTCAAAAAGAAAATGATATATCGGGGATATAGAGATAAAAGAAAAAATTGGGACCAGTTTTTCAACTTTGACCTAGGACTAGAACTAGTTTTTAGTCTTTTTTTGCTAGAACTAGTTTTTAGTCTTTTTTCCCCCCACAGAATTAATCAAGTAATTATTCAAAATCAATTATGTAGTAGACACCTGTCCTTAAGGAACTTAGAATTTTATGATGGAGAAGGAAAAACTAACAACTGGTTTTAGGATAGGATAGCAATAAAGGATAGACTCTCCAATGATGAAGAATATGATATGAACTCAGAGGATAACTAGAGTTGACAAATTTTTCTTAAATTTAAGTTAAATTTCTACATAAGACACACATAGCTCAGATTTTTAATCTTGTCTGATATAGACACTTCTTTTTCTTTTCTTTTTTAGTTGTAGATGGACACAATATTTGTCTATATATAGTGCTGAGGACTGCACCCAATGCCTCACACATGCTAGGCAAGTGCTCTAATACTGAGCCACACGACTGCCCCCCAACCCTTTTTTTTTTTTTTTTTTTTTTTTTTTTTTTAAAGAGACAGGGACTTGCTGAGTTGTTTAGGGCCTCCCTAAGTTGCTAAGGCTGGCTTTAAACTTGCAATTCTCCTGCTCAGCCTTCTGAGCTGCTGGGATAACAGGCATGTACCTGGCCTTTTTAACTTCTCTTCTTAGTTGTATTTTCCACTTAAGTAGTCACTCTTGTCATTCCTCGCCTTATTACAGATGACCCAGAAAGAAACCTCTGGTCCCTCATCTCAGTCCTGCAGTCCAGCCCGAATCTCTCGGTGATTTTCCCTGCAGCTGTCTCCTCTTGACTGGTCATACTCTCACCTCTCACAACTTCACCAACTCCTTCTCCTGCTCTCCTTCTCTGCCTGACCTTATGACAGAGTCCTTCCCCTGGGTGTTCACTTGGTAGTTCTCTCCAGCTCTGCACTGTCCCCTGGGAGATCCCTTCCATCTGAAAGTAGCAGCTATCACAACTGCATTGATGTTCTCAAATCTAGCTTAGCTCACACTGTCCCCTGGGAGATCCCTTCCATCTGAAAGTAGCAGCTATCACAACTGCATTGATGTTCTCAAATCTAGCTTAGCTCACAATCTTAAGTCTCCGTGTCAGAGTATGTCAAGTACATCGAAAAAATGAGTCTTAAAATAGAGTTTATTTTAAAACATGTTTTATTATGAAAATTTTAAGACAGACATAAAAGTTGACCAGTATTCTGAATTTATGTATATTCCTCACACAAAGAGCTGTGTTGGCATGTGTTACTACCAGTTTTTAACACAATCTTAACAACTTTGGAATCAGCATTTGTTCATTTGTAATAATTTGTTAGATGGAAAATAGTATCTACTTGTATCATAAACAGATCATTTCTTAAAGCCCTCTTTGCATATCCTGTCTTTGGAAAAGTATATGTTTCTCTCAACCTATATCCCTTTCATCAGATAAGCTGTGATAAAGTGGGAAATCTAATAGAATTACATTTGATTCTATCTGAATTTATGAAAGCATGATTATATGTATTTTTAAAAGCTATAGTTTTACTAAAAGATAATGATGAAATCTGTTCATGTATTAACTAGATTATTATCTGATAAGAAGTGGCATCACATTTTGCTAAGAGATAATTTAAACATACCCAATTTTAAATTGTTTTCTTGGGACACAGGAACCTTAGTACAAAAAAAGTAGGTGGAGAATACAGTTTCACCAGATATAAATTTATTAAATAGGGAAGAACATCTTGAATCTGTAGGGATTCTCTTTCTACATTAGAACTGCCACTACTAATCATTTAAGATAATGTTCAGAGGAGATGGTAGTAATCATCTCCTGCCAAAAAAAAAAAAAAATAGGATTCCAGAGGAACCCACAAATGTATTCCCCCTTACCAGAAAAGTTATTGCTGACATTAGGGGAAGAATTATATTTTGGTATCGTTGCCAAAAGACTTTTTCCCTGAAAGAAAAATCAGTGACATTAACAGTGTTAGTAAGTGCCTGCTATGTGTAAGGTGCTGCCTAGGTTGAATAGGACATCATCCCAGACCTCAGAATATCTACAATCCAGAGAGAAGATAGTGGGGTAGGGAGGGGGAACATGGGAAGAATAGATGAATTCTTGATAGGGCAGAGTGGTAGGAGGGAAAGGGAGGAGGGGCAGGGGATTTGCAAGGATGGTGGAATGTGGTGGACATCATTATCAAAGTACATGTATGAAGACACGAATTGGTGTCAGCATACTTTATGTACAACCAGAGATATGAAAAATTGTGCTGTATATGTGTAATAAGAATTGTAATGAATTCTACTATCATTTATTTTTTTAAAAAAATCAATAAGAATAAATAAATAAATAATAAAAAAATAAAATGCAGTGTGGTAAGTACTATAATAACCATGGATGTAGCAAGTGCCACAGAAGCACAGAGAAGAGAGGAATTAGTGCTCGGTAATTAGAATATGGTAGGGGCTTGTAGGAAGACTGCATTTTTTCAGACAGAGAAGAAGGGAATCTCTAGGGTACAGCATGAGCCATCACAAATTTTCAGAACCTTTTTCAATACTGAAATGGTTTTCGCTTAATCTCCACTCCTTGGCCACAGGAAGTGGTGTGATGACAATTCTGTTTATTGTAAAAACAGAATTGCAATTGGAAAGAGGTATTGGTACCATTCATTGGTCATCCAAATGCCCCAGTGGAGTGTCTGCAGCATCCTCCAGACTTCTGTGTTCAAGATCCTAGAGGGCAACCATTGCCCATGAGTCACTGCATTCCTTTAAATTTCTTGTTTTTCCCCCCTCCTCAGGCTTATTCTGTATATGATGAAGAGATTGGTTATTGTCAAGGCCAGTCATTTCTTGCTGCTGTGCTGCTTCTCCATGTGAGTAATTAAGTCTCTCCTATGATTTACACCTGGTAGACTTAGCTTATACTTATCTATAGGCTGGAGGATAGTCTTATTGGGTTTGGCCAGAGTTTTAACTCCTGTATCTGGAAACTACAAGAGAAACATGGTGAGAATAAATGACAAGTGTTGAAAACTAGTACAATGATAGACTTTCTTTTTATTACTAGGAAAATTGGGTAGATTTTAGTATTGGTTGGCTCCTTGGGGATACTCTGTTGTCTCTAAAGGAGCCACTATCATTAATGTTTGTTTGAGGATTTATGTATTGGGGTGAGAAGAAGGCAGAGAACTTGGCTTGCTTTATTGCCATTTTATTCATGCCTTTATTCACAAAGACCTTTACCCTCCAGATTTTTAATTTTCTTTTAAAAGCCAAAACAAAGTTGAAAAATGTAAAGGTAGAGTACTCTCTATAAATAAGTGTTTTCCACACTGATTTCTCTTTTTGTCTCTCTCTGCATCTCTTTTTCTCTTTCACACACACATTTTATTTTTTATTGGAAAAAAAATAAGTGAATTTTGCTTTGTTTTGGTACCAGGGATTGAACTCAGGAGCACTCTAACCACTGAACTACATCCCTAGCCTTTTTTTTATTTGGGTCTTGCTAAGTTATTTAAAGTCTAGCTGGATTGCTGAGGCTGGCTTTGAATTTGGAATACTCCTGAGCCTCCTGAGCTGCCAGGATTACAGGCTTGCACCATGAATTTATTTTTTGAAAGGAAGTAGCAAACAATGAGATTCTGAGCATATGACTTGTAAGGACATGGGCATTCTATAGCATAACCATAATATAATAATCACATCCAAAAATGCCATGTTTATTCAGTAATGCCACAGTCCACATTCATTTTTTTTTTCCCATTGTCTACTTGGCAGAGTTCTTTACAGTCCTTTTTTTCTAATCATTATCCAGGGAAGATTCAGACATTGTATTTGCTTATTATTTCTCTTTTTCTTTTAATCTAAACTGGCCCACTTTCCTCTTTTGTGTTTCCTGCCATTGATAGTTTTGAAAAACTCAAAAGTCGTCTTGTAAAATGTCCCATATTCTTAATTTATCTGATTATTTCCTCTTGTTTAAGTTGAAATGTGTGGCAAGAATACCACATAGGAGATGTCAGCAAAGGGGTATTAAGTGCTGTGCTGGAGGTCAGAGGTGAATGAGTAGTGGACATGATCTTCATCCTAATGGGTGTAATGCTAGTGACTTCTCCTAGTTGTAAGGAAATAATCATACACATTTCCGTGTTATTGTGAAGGTAAAATAAAACGTTTAATAAAAGATTGTAACAGAGAGCCTTATTTAGATTTAAAGGCTTCTCTGGGGAGAAGGGAGGGAGGTAGCCTTGCAATATACTCTGAAACATGAAAAGGGGTACTACACTGTTTTGTACTTTTCAGTGTTACTTTTTCCTTTTTAAGTTGTTGTGGAGATAAACTATTTTAAAAGCATGAGCGTGGAGAGGAGAGCATCACTGGCAAAGGGAATAGTATAGTATATAGAAGCCCTGAAATGGGGAACCACTTGTGTATGGAAGGAATTGGAAGAATGCAACTAGAATATCCTACATGGAGGGAGGAAGGGGTAGGAGCTGGAGAGGGAAGCAAAGGTTCCCCTAGGAGGCCCTGAAGGCTAGGATCTCATGTTGTTTCTCTAATCAGCAGGAATCCACTGAAGGGTTGGGAGCTATATTGTGTAGGTTGTAATACAGGTAAAGCAAAGGCTACTTTGTAACTCTTCTCCATTGTGAACCCAGCTTGGTAGTATTTTGATTATATAAAAAGCTGTGATGTTAATAAAGAGTTCATATAAAAATATGCTAAAGCTGTGATTTTAATAAAGAGGTCAAGTTTTTAAAATTTTGTTTGGTTGTTTTAGTCAAACTTTATCTTGGTCTCACAAGCCTGTGTTGTTTCTCTTGCAACCTTAGTCCAGTGACATCCCCACTTAAGTACTATAACCCATGGAAAATGGCTTTCCCAGATTCCCCCGGTTTTGGTTTGAACTTCTGTTGCTTGCTGCAGTGTGAAGATCAATGCTTGTTTCAATGTGAGGAGAATCAGAAATCCTGTGTGGTCAGGCCACTTCTCTCACATGTGGGAAAGTGAAGTTGCCTTCTGTGATGAAGACCTCAAAAGATCTGATCTATTGAATAATCTGCTATGTTTCTCTCATTTATTCCTTAATATGGTTTGCTCTTTTGTCTTTTTTATTCTCAGTGATTTCTGTGCTTACCTAACCTCCCTACTCTTGTTCCATAGAAGCCTGCCCACCTTCCCAACTTTTGAAAGGCTTGTTGCTGTCATACCAAGCCTTAAATAACATTGTCAATGCTTTTCTTCTGTTTTGAAAACTAGACATCTTGCTAGGTTCTCAGGGAAATATTTTCCCATAAATCTATGAAGATGTATCTATTAGTATAAATAGATTATTATAAATATGTATTATTTATAAATAGATGTAAAACAGGTATTTTTTAACTGTACTGCAAACATTCCTTTGATACTTCAGGTATTATGGTAAGCCTTAACATGTGTAATGTTCTTTTATAACAAGCTGTGTTTTCAATAGTGATGGAGAAGAAAAAAAAATTTACTAGAAAATAAAGGCAGCTAAGGGAAGTACAATGATTAAATGGAGGTCTCATGATTTAGGAAAGATGAAACCTTCTCTGTGTATCAGCCTGTTCCTAAACTCATCTCAATTCCTGTCCTCCCCACAAAGCCTATTCCTGACTTCTGGCAGATGCAGATCTTCCTGTCCTGTGTTCTCACTGATCCTTCTACCTAATTCATATTACAGTTACTATATCCTAGCTGTACGGGAGGCTCCTTGAGGACAGGCACAGTGCTGACACAGAGTAGGCATCATTGAACATTTCTTGCCCGAGTAATCAAAACTTTAGACCTGAGGTTCTGCAAACTACATTTCCTGGTAAGACAATAGAAAGACGGATTTACTATACTGAGAAAACTTGTGTGTATGTTTTGTAACTTTTCCCTGGTTGCCTGTCTGTTACAGATGCCTGAAGAACAGGCATTCAGTGTTCTGGTCAAGATCATGTTTGACTATGGTCTCAGGGAACTTTTCAAGCAAAACTTTGAAGATTTGCATTGCAAATTTTCCCAGTTGGAACGCCTCATGCAGGTAAAAAGAGAAACCAGCTTGCCTTCAATAAAAAGAGCAGGGTAGGGAGAGCTAGATTGTGGACTCAGTATCATCCTTGATTAAGAACAGGTTTTGTTTCTGTCAGTTCTCACTGTGGTGAGGAGGTCAAGATTAATATAATGTGAACCTGATGGGGTGAGCTGATTTTTCAGTCTCAAAAACAGCCGAAAGAGCAAATGACTTTGTAAGGCCCTTTGTCATAGCACATTCAGTCAAGAAGTGCTCACTCACCATGGCTGTGAAGCTGGTTAGGAATTTCATAACAAAAGTGAAACAAACTTTCCCAAACAACTTTCCCAAACATTTCATATCTTGGAAAGAAAAACTGGCTTTCCAAATACTTGTCACCATGTGGGGAATCCTTCTTGCTTTAGAGCTAGTTTGTGGTCTGGAAAAGAGGCTGAGTGCCAGCTTAATACCAGATGATAAGTATTCTGAGCATTTCAGAGATTTTTTTGAAGAACACAAGTATATAGATTTTTTTGCCCTATTTCTGGCAGATTTATGAGCCTCCCAAGAGGGAGTAGGATGGCTACACATGTGCCCAAAACTAATTAGAGGTTTGCTATTTCAGGAATACATCCCTGACCTGTATAGCCACTTCCTGGACATCAGCCTTGAAGCACACATGTATGCCTCCCAGTGGTTCCTTACACTTTTCACTGCAAAATTCCCTCTCTACATGGTCTTCCATATCATCGACCTGCTTTTATGTGAGGTGTGTATTAGAGGCCACAGCACTTTGACTCTTGTCTGCAGCATACTTTCTGTGTCAGCTCTTGTCAAAAGTTTATTCTAAGTTACTTTATTTTGTTGCTGGGAAATCCAGGCTGAAGTGAACCTTCCATGAGCGAATGAATACTACTCAAATTTGTTGAAGTGCTCTCTGTTGAGAAAAGATATAGTAGACATTTGTATTAGTTAGAGTTAGGCTTGACTGCATTTTATAAAGAAACTCAAAATAACAATGACTAATTAAAATAGAGATTTCTTTCTCAGGTAAAAGAAGGCAGAAGGTTCCATCCTTAAATGGAATAGAGTTCCAGCCTTCATATCTTTTATTATGGCCAAGAGTGGAGTGGGGGCAAGTGCTTCCCTTTTTAAGAAATCTTCTACAAATTGGCCAGAACTTCATTATATGACTGTTTCACCCTGTTTTTTAAAGCTTGGTAGGAATTTGCTAAATCTGGGGAGATATATTGTTAAACAGAAGAGTGATTCAGAGTAAAGAACAGTCTTTGCTGAGTTTTGGGTTTTGAGATGTAATGTGTGTATTTAAGAAAAAACTAAATATAAAAATAAAATGTTTATTATAGAAACTTTAAAACATAAGCAAAAAGTTAAAATACTTCTGGTCCCACTGTCTAAAAGTTAACTACTTTAATATTTAGGTATGTGTCCTTTAAACCTTTTTTGTATGTTTATATATATTCATGTTTATAATTTCTATATGGGATACTGTGTTTTTCCATTTGGGACACACATAATGTTATGGTTCAATGTATATACATCTTAGAACATGATTATGCTATATATACTATTCTGTTTTTTCATTTCAAATACTTGAACATCTGTGAACACACATACCTATATAGTCCTTTTTGTCTCATTATGGCATATTCAAAGCATACAAAAATCCATGAGGAATTTATATCTGTTAGCCTCATTCATTCTTATATTACCAACATGCCATTATTATTACTTGCTACCCAGCACCCCACTATTCGGATATGCCATAATTTATGTAACCAATTTCTGATCTCCAAACTTTATGTCTAGTTTTTCATAATTAGAAATAATCATCTGTTAAATAGTTACTAAAGGCCAGGTGGCTTGCTAAGTAATTTACATAAACTTTGCAACTAATTATCTCAGAAAACCCTTAGGAGAACATTAGTTTTGGAAACTGAAGCAAAGTGTTTAACTTGATCACAGATAATAATGCCTTTTTCATAGTTTCTTTGCCTCCGTGATTCCCAGATTGGTTAGATAAGAGAAGGCAGACTGGAAGGAGCTCAGAGCAGACACAGGTCTGGGATCTAGAGCTCAATGGATTTATGTACTGGGATTGGGGTAGCCCAATATACAGGGCAAGTCCACCAGGAGTTATTTTTTTGGTCATTCACAGTTTTATAATTCTTATTTCGATTTGAAATCATGGCCTACTTTGGAGAAGCATTCTTTCTTGTCAAATGTGAATATAGGGCTAGAAAAGCTCTTCTCTGAGAAAACCAGGAGAATGGGTTGACTTTAAGTGACTTTTCAGTGATAACCCTGCAATTTTTATTTTCCAAGATAATTCATTTCCTAACTTATATTTTCATAATTTCTCTAAAATCGTGGGCTAATCTGAGGACTAACCACATGCATCACATATGACACTGAAAATATTTTTTACCTTCTCTTTCAGGGAATAAGTGTTATTTTTAATGTCGCCCTTGGATTATTAAAGGTACGTGTTTATTCATAAGATGAATTACCTGGCACATACCCTGGCTCTATTAGTCTTAGTCTCATCTAAGTGGTTGCTGTGCTCTGATATTTTCACTGATGGTGAATATGCATAAGTAGCTAAACAAGAAGAAATATCATCTGGGTATTTTTAAAATGCACGATTTTAAAAGCTTCCCAGGCATCTTCACAGCGAACCTTTTTATTCCGTGATTGTATTTTTTTCTGTCTTCAAGACTTCCAAGGATGACCTGCTATTGACAGACTTTGAAGGTGCCTTGAAGTTCTTCAGAGTTCAGCTTCCTAAAAGATACCGCTCAGAAGAAAATGCAAAAAAACTAATGGAATTAGCTTGCAACATGAAGGTAAAATAATTTTTTGCACTAATTAAGAATCTTATGGGGCTGGGGTTGTGGCTCAGCGGTTGAGCACTTGCCTTGCATGTGTGAGGCACCGGATTCAATCCTTAGCACACATAAAAATAAATAAACAAAATAAAGATATTGTGTCCACCTACAACTAAAAGAAATATTTAAAAAAAAAAAAAGACTTCTTTTGTTCAGTTAATTTTCTCACTTTTCCTGATGAAACTCTTTTAACATTTGTAACATGTATATCTCTTATTCCAAATGGTTGGTGGCATAATATTTGGGATTGCACATCTTTCTAAATCCCAAATTCATTTGTTTATATATACCTTACCCACAGCCTGAAGGTCATTTTATGTAGTATTTTTAGTGCATCTGACTGATGCATCAGATGAGGTCAGGTGTGGTGGAGTTTTCCACTTGTGGCATCATGTTGGTTCTCAGAAAGTTTCAGACTTTAGATATTTTTTATTAGGAATGCACAACCTATGATAAATAATGATGTTTTCTTTTGTATGACATCATGTTTTTCTTTCCAAATTCTTTCATATACAGTCAGCCCTTTGTATCCATGGGTTCCACATCTTTTAGTTCAGGCACAGATTGAGGATATTCAGAGGGAAAAAAAAAAATAGGTCTGCACTGAATACATATAGGCTTTTTTCCTTGTCATTATTCCCTAAACATTACAGCATAATAACTATTTATATAGTATTTACATTGTATTAGGTATTAACTAATTATTTAGAGATGGTTTGATGTATATAGGAGGACATACATGGGTTATATGCAAATAATATGCTGTTTTACAGAAGGAACTTGGGCATCCTCATATTTTGCTATCCAAGGGGGATCCTGGAACCAGTCTCCCAAGACACTGAAGGATGATTGTATATGACTGTATTATATAGTATATATAATGACTGTATTATATAGTCATTAAATTCAATCTCATTGCCCCACTTCCTGAATTCTAAGAATGATATTACTATCCCCATTTTGAAAAGAAACCAAAACACAGCAACAGTGGTAGCCCCTTTGATACACCTAGTTAGTGGCAGAATTTAGCTTTCGTGATTTCTCTTGCATTGTCCTTTTACTTTCAGCATTTGTTGTTACGGCTAGAAGTTCCCTAAATTCCCTAAATGAAACTAATAATATGTGAGAATCCCCACTTGATTTTATTACTTCATGTAGCTTTTATGACATGTATAATTCTTTTAAGGTAAAAACCATTATTGCCTTTTGCTCATGTGTTAATAAAGTTGTATTTTTTAAGAAAGAAAAAAATAATTGAAAGTTTAGTTTGGAATTTCAGGGTGTAGGCAGGGATAGAGTAAATTGTTATATTCAGATTTCTGTAAGGTACATACATAGGACATAATTGTACCCTCAAGTAGAACTAAGATTCATGTGTCAAGACAGATGTGGGGGCAGCTTCACTATCTACAAAATAGAGCAGGGGTTTGGATTCAAGAGTTACTTCACCTCTGTGTAAGGTTTCATTTTTCTCTTCGATAAAATAATATGGAACTGCTGGTTCTGATTAAGTATCAAATTGAGCTAATTCAGACTACCTTTATTCTTTGAACACAAAGAGGCTAGACAGAATACAACCCAAGAGATGTTCAAATACTTAAATGAACTTGAAAATAAAAAAAAGGTAGATAGAGAGGCTTGGGGCTGTGGCTCAGTGGTAGAGTGCTTGCCTAGCACATGTGAGGTGCCGGGTTTGATCCTCAGCAGCACATAAAAGTAAATAAATAAATAAAATAAAAGTATTGTATCTGACTACAACTAAAAAAACAATTAAAAAAAAAAAAAGATAAATGGATGTACAGGGTGCCCAAAAGAAAGTAGCTCAAAACTAATGTGTGTAAATTCATACGTCAGCATCTCAAGGGAATATGGAACCGTGTTGTTAGGGTTTTAATGATCACACATACATAGTAGACATGACTGCAGGCCTTTAATAGGGATTTAAATCTGAGACCTCCACATAGGTGGGACTTTTTTCCTGGTCTATTGAAGGGAGGATACAAAAACTCTACCTATTAACCCAAGAAACAATAGAAGGCATAATATAAAGTGACTGGAGAATTTGAAAACAAAAAGAAATAGAACTTCTGAAAATTCAAATTATCATTAAAGTTCCATTCAGATTAAAATTATACGTCACAGATATTATGGCTAATGTTTAATGATAGTTCATCATGCATCAGGTACTATGGCTAAGCTTGTGTGTGTGAGATAAGGGTTAGCTACAATTTATATATATATATATGTATGTATACACACACACACACACACACACACACACACACACTGTCTTTACGGTGCCTGAAAAGAAATAATGGTTACTACTATCACTTCCTCTCTAGTTTTTCTAACAGACATCAGATATTGTGCAGTAAAAAGTTTAAAGCAAATGGATTGCACAGAACATAGGCCCAAATAAGTTCTGAGATTCAGAGTCACTCTTTCTACCTCAACCTGGCTCAGCACACAAGAATGTGCCAACTCTTTTGCTCTTAATGTCTTCCCTCTAAAACCTTCTTTTTCAGTGTCCCCATCTTAGTTAGCGGTATCTAGTTGCTTAGGCCAAAAACCTCATTGTTGTCCTTGACTTCTCTTTCTCACACTTGACATCTTCACACTCCACATTAAAGTATATCCTGACACTCTGATCAGCCTTCATCATTAAGAGCCCAATCTCACTGTATTTCTTTATTACCACCATTTCTTGTTTACATGGTGGGCCTCCTTGCTTACTTTTCTCTGTCCCTTTTTTTCCTTGCTTAAAACTATCTAAAGGCTGTGTGTATGTGTGTGTGTGTGTTTGTGTATTAGTGATTGTAATCATAATAATGGGATTCATTAATCCACATATGTACATGTATATAACACAATTTGATTATTCTCATTTCCTAATACCTTCCCTTTGACTCCCCTCCTCCTTTCCCTGATCCACTTGCTCTAACTCTACTGATATCTCCTCTATTATTATTGTTGTTACTACTAGTAGTTTAATTAGTGCATAATTATATGTATAATACTGTGGTATATTCATACATGGACATAGCATAATTTGGTAGATTTTGTTTCATGATACCTCCCCATCTCCTACCCCTTCTTCTACCCTATTGGTATCCCTTCCATTTTCATAAGACCCCCCCCCCTTTTTCTTCCCTGATGGCTTCTTATTTTACAACAGAACTCACAGTTCCTACCGTGTCCTGCAAGTCCTGACAAAGTCACGTGCATGACCCACAAGGTCTGGCCTGGGATCTCATGCTGCTTTCTCCATTTGCTCTTTTGACTTCAGATCCCCCTGGCCACCTCACTGTTTGGGGACATGCCAAGCTTGTTCTCCCCCCTCTGGCCTTTACCCTGGCTTGTCACATTTTCCTAGCTGTCTGTGTGGACTGTCACCTCATCCAGTCTTCAGCTCAGATATCAGAAGCTTTCTGTAGTCACAATATCAAAAGTAGCAGTCTCCCCAGCCCTTTATGCCCTTGTCTCATACCCTATCTGATTTTCTATCCCTAGAGTGGGGGCCCTGCAGCAGAACAGATTGCTGAATTCTTAGAACCAAGAACAGGGTCTGGCATGCAAATACTGATTGAATGAATGAATATGCTGTTGAGTTTTTCTAAAGTGTTTTACAAGGAGGATTTAAGGTGAATTTGGGCAAAACTTAAAAAAACTAGCTAGAGGCTTTAGTCTGGGTTTTCATTAGCTTGAATCACTTTAATAGTATATAAATTCTTTATTTCCATAGTCCAGATAAAAGGTATCTGATATCTTTTTTTTTTCCCCCTTGCTACACTTAGAATAAAGTAAGGCTAGCAAGGCTGTCTTCAGGGTGTCTTCATAGCACATATATTTTGTGCATAAACAAATAATTCCTTCCAGCCCTGGAGAACTTTGCATATTTGAGGTACACTTTGGATGATTTTCCCTATTTGCACATATTTTAGACAAAATAATAATTTTTTTCTTGAAATTCAGTCATAGCATGGAAAGCCTATAGATTCACCAAGACATGAGAGAATACTGGGAATTTAACCCAGGGGCGCTTAACTTCTGAACCACATCCCCAGCCCTTTTTGTTTGTTAGTTTGAGACAAGGTCTTGCTAAGTTGCTTAGGACCTCAATAAGTTGCTGAGGCTGGCTTTGAACTTGCAGTCTTCCTGCCTCAGCCTCCTGAGCTACTGGGATTACAGGCAGTAATCTTGGCTCCAATACCAAGAAATAGTAAGGGAGATGGAGATAGTAGTTGAGCCAGTTATTGTCAGAGTGATAATTCACAGTGATTGTGTGCCAATTCAAAGTTAAAAAAGAATCACTGGCAAGTGCACTTCGATCTGTGCATGCTGTGGCATGCATGAGGTAGAAGGCCTCAGTTGGCACAGAATGCTCCAAATCATCTGTGGCTTGGAGCCCCCTTTAGACATGGAAAAGGCACTTCATGATTTGTGAATAGTTGGGAAGCTAACTTTTGAACTTCTGGCATGGAATTTGCAAAGGAAACTTTGGATGTGCAACTTGTTGATATCCTATTCCATTATTTTTAAATTGTTGCTTGGTTTACTCAGTTGTATTCCCTGATTAAAGTGAGAATTAGGAGCACTTTGCTTCATGTGCCTAGGAAACGAATAGTTTACTTTTGTCATTGTTGTGTTTTAACATTGTGATCTTATTGCTGTAATTTCTGGTATTTGTGTAATTCTTACAAACATCTTCTTTCTTTCTCCCAGTATTCAACAAGTAGGGTGTACCAAGTGTGGAAACAGAAGCTTACGGAAGTCATGTAGCTTACTCAAGTGGTACTGGTGGGACAGTGTCAGGAACCCTAGTAGAAATTCTGATTCCACATTCCTAATGCTTTCTACTCCATTCTGCTGCCTCTTTTACAAAAGTCTAATGAGAGTTAAATTTGGTGTGGCAGTATCTGAAATGGCCACAAGATGGGTGTGTTGCTCAAAAAGACTTC